AAAATAAATCAGACCCTAAAACAAAAAATTAAAAAGCTATGCGCAGAGAGCGGGTTAAAATGGACTAAGATTCTCCCACTGGCCCTTATGTCCATCAGAACCACCCCCCAGGAGAAAACTAAAGCTCAGCCCTTACGAGCTGCTGTTTGGACACCCTGTTCCCCAACATTTCCCCTTACTACCGGCTCACACTTCTTCTCTTTTAGGCGATGAAGGACTCACCTCTTATATTTTATCTCTACAGTCTCAGTTAAAATCTCTCCATAGGTATGCTGCTTTAAGCCAACCCCTCCCTGCCGATGTCCCAGCACATCGCATCCAGCCTGGAGACTGGGTATATATAAAAACTTGAAAACGGTCTCCCCTTAAACCTAAGTGGCAAGGACCGTATCAAGTCCTCCTCACCTCCCACACCGCCGTAAAGGTAGCAGAAAAGGACAACTGGATTCATTATACTCGTACAAAAAAAACCAGAAGTCTCACCAGAGCTCAGGATCGGCTCCAACGCGAGCTTCCCTGACCTGGAAAAGGGGAAGCCAGAAGAAGACAACTGCGGACTTCGTGGGAGCACCGCACGCTCACCTGACCGCAACAAGGGTGAGCCAGAAGCAGCCGAAAAAATAAAAACAAACACCTCCTGGACCTGCAGCCCGTTAGATAACATAAAACTCAAACTAACCAAGGTCCACTAATGAACTGTCACCCTTTTGGGGTCCTGCCCAGCCCAGAGAGCACCGAACTCCAAGTACTGCATCCTCTAGACACTTTTGGATCAGCTAAAACAGAGCACTTTGAGACTGTAAGATGTCCCAGAAGACCAGTTATTGGAGCTGCAGGGTTGTGCATACTGTTTGTGCTGATTTTTGTTATAATATGGTTTCTATAACTATGTTATTTCTAATCTTTCTCTTTGCTGGACAAATAAGTCTCTCACAGGGATCGGCTATAGCTGCCAGTTGCTGCAGATGTGCTAATCCTGGTGCCCGAGTTTTTCCTGTCTGGATAAGTGATTCAATCAAACTCTCTGATATAGACAGGAAGGGCAACCTTGCCCGACGGTATCCTCCCTCACATTGCTGTAGTTCAACAAAAGTTCGGGTATTTACTTATAGAACAGAATATCGTGTAAAGCCTAGCCACCCAGTTTTCAGACAATTTGCAGAGTCTCCTCAGGCTAAAACTACTCTTAAACCTACTGTTGCCCATATCTCTGATAATAATATATACCTCCAATACGTTGAGAGAGCCGCTAAAGCAGAAAACCAAAGTGATTGTTGGGTGTGCAGTCATTTTCCTCTCCACACCCAAGGAGGCATTCCCACGACTCCCATCCCCTTGGGCCCCATCGAGTCACTTTTAAACCCCTCTAATAACCAAGCTTGGGACCAAAGTCAGCAGAAATTCCTTTTGGTAAAGCCTGCTGTTGGAGATTGGTGTTTCTATATAAACTGCTCAGTATCAAACTGCATTAATTTAGGCACAAGCATATGTCACCACTATTTTACTAGTTCAAGTGGAGGAGACTGGCGTAATAATAACACAGCAACTCCTACCTATTGCAGCTCTTACAATGATTTCTACAGCAGCAAAAATTTAACCAAAAACACTAATCCTATCTACACCCCCATCTCCTCTTTAAATAATACCTTGTGGTATTGTTTATACACCGACACCTCCCGGGGACAATGCTTCTTTAATGAAACTGCAAATCCTTCCTTTAAATCAAAGGGTAAACGCGGGGTGCTAGGATTAGGAAACGGGGGCCGAATACCTCCTAAATATTCAAACCTCGCTGCTTTAAAAGGACAATACTGGGTCTGTGGCTCCCACGCCTACCATAAAATCCCTGCCAAAGGAAAAGGTATCTACTCTCCCGCCATGCTAAAACCCTCTACGTCCTTCGCCACGCACCTTCCACGGGGCAGGTGGCGAAACAAGAGGGATTTACAAAAAAGCCGTGATATAATAAACAAATATCAAAAAACTCCGCTTACCACAGGAGTATTAGTCGGGTGTTCTTTAGCAGGTATACTCCCAGGAATAGGCACTGCTTGTCTTAAAAGATTTACACTACGTTTGCAAGCTGTGATAAAAATCATGGCTCATAAATTCAGTGAAGGTCACAAGGAACTCTCGAAGGCCGTTGCTGCCTTGGCTGACACCCAAGAAGAACTCCAACAAATGGTAATTCAAAACCGTATAGCCCTGGATTTTCTCCTTGCTGCTCAAGGAGGAGCTTGTGCGGTTATTGAACCAGAATGTTGTGTTTGGGTTAACAGTTCTTTTACAATAGTACAAACCCACCTCAATGATGCAGCTGTCCATATCCAAAAAGCCGAAGATATAGCTAAAATCCCCAAAGACACATCTCTTAGTTGGCTCACTAATTGGTTGCCTTCCCTTACAGGATGGCTTAGACCTTTTGTATTAAGCTTAATCGGAATTGTTATAACTATAATCTGCCTGTTGTGCTGTTTTCAGTGTCTGTGCTCTCTAGGACAACAGTTTATGCAAAGGCAAATAAAAAATATATGGTCAGTTTATACAAATATCCAGCATCAATCATCAAAACCTAACCCCACAAGAAGTTAAATACCTAAAAGTGTGTTCCAAAATTTCTCCTGAAAAATTGAAACAAAGAGAGGATTTGTAGTGCGCAGGTTTTTGTTATTACCCTAAAATAAAACTTTTCTGATAAGCATACTGTTAGGTTTACAATAATTTAGATTATTAGGAAATATTAGCTTTACAGCTGAATACAAGGCATGACCTGTGGCCTAGCAATGCAGCTGACCACAAGGCAGATTGATAGCTAAGCCTTTGCTTGTGTCAAGTAATCATTTTAACTGTATTAAGCATTTTCTGAGTTAAAAGCAGCAAGTATCTCTGTGTCTGTGTGCTAAAAAATCAGCTACAGCAAGAAGTAAGATAAGACAGGGAAACCATTGTTCTGGGTGCACTGGTTGTGTCCTTGAGAAATATCTACTACTGTGTAAGGTTTTGCTAACATATTATAATGTTACTGTTACTTAACTTTTAGCTTTTTAAAAAGTGCTAGTTCAGCTTAATAGAAATATGCTGTTACAAAGATTTGAAAAGCACCGCCCAAGTATTGCTTTTTTTTGTTAACCATGAAGTCTTGCCTTGTTGTAATAAGTATAAAAGATCACCTCACCCTTAGGGGGGGGGCCATTTTGCCTTTTGCTGGCTTTATGGTCTTTGCTCGAGCAAATAAACAGCTGTCTTTCTTTACCCGCGTTGTCTATCAATCAAATTACAGCTAGACAACGAACCTTAGGGAGGTTTCTCCCACCACATTAGTAATGCATTTTCAATGGATTAGTAACTTAACTTACACTAATACAGGGACAAAATAGCTGGAATATGGAATCCATTTCCTTCCATGAATGAAAGTGGTTTGAACTGCCGCTCTAGGAAGAGTGGAAGAAGATAAGAGCAAACTTTGTCTGCCTGAAAATTCAGCCTGTTACTTGTAATTACAGCAATTTTAGGTATTGAAACGTGTAACAAGAAAACTATTCTTTTGTGGGCTTACACACTGTATTTGAGTCATCTAGTCAGCATTTATTTCTTAACATAGTTTAGATACATCTGGATATCTAGACAGTTTATCATGGTATAAAAACAAATGCACTGCATTAACTCAGGACTTCAACTAAAACCAGGTTCAGCCCCCTCTACTAGCACAAACTGCCTTTGAAATCACTGATTTTACTTACTATCTTTCTTTCTTACTTTCTGCCAAGTCTTTATTACTACAGAGTAAAATCTCTGGTTTAGAGACTTAAATTATTCTTCCCTCCCTGAAACAATTCATGGCCTTCATTTTATGTTACTCAGTTGGTACTGGTACACATTTATTTAAGCAAGCAGCTAAACTTAAACATAAATTGACCATTTACAAAGCCACCTGATAACTATTATGTGGTCCCAAGGCCAACCAAACAGACTGGTGAATCAGTTAATGGCCCTTAAGATCAGGCAATTTTCCTACATCTTTAGTTTGAACAATTGGGAATAGTAGATCTGGAACTAGTAAATGATTGGAATTACAAAGCTAAAGGTTACTTCTGCATATTTCATTTACATAGAGTGATAACCTAATGAAAAGTAGCTAGGTCTACACAGAGAAAAACTACTAGTCGAGCCTACTTGGCCTGTCAAATGGTATATGCCACAGTTTAATCTGGACTGATGTTGGGAACCTCCAAACATCCTTTCTGGGGCTGCAACAATTCTTGACCAAAGATTCTCCTAATCAGCTACACAGCCTACAAAGAGGAATTTCTTTTTAGAAAATCCTGTAACAATTCTATCTGAAACAGCTGCACCTATTTGTACAAGCTGAAGGTTAGCTTGTCTACTAAAAATTAAACCAATAAACTAGGAAAGCCCATTGATGCCTATGTGCTACAGCACTACATTCTGCAGCGAATAAGGGTTTGCAGCTGTTTCATATAGATATCCAAATTGAGGTTCTTGAACTAAATAAAACTGAATACTCAAAACTGTCCCTCAAAATAAATAAATGTGTCATGGCATGTAACCTATTACTACATAACTGCCTCAAGCTGCTGGTAGAAAGCTGTAAATTTTGGAATCTGAATAAGAAGCATGCATAGTTCTAATATTTAGGAAGTAGTTGAGGCTTTTAGCAAATGAGGAATCATCATCTTATCTTTCTTCCACTGTGTTAATGAGGTAAAGGTTATGTAGCACATAGTTAGCAACACAGAGCTAGCAGATGGTACTTCTACAAATAGTCTTGCTTCTTCTGTTTATCTGAATTTAGTTATTTGAAATAAATGGTTAGCCAGCCATGATGCTGTCCTTTCTGAATCCTGAAAATAATCGTGATTCAACTTAAGAGAGAGAGAAAAAGAACAGGTCTCATTTTAACTACTGTGTGTTGGACAAGTTCTTCTTGTACTGTAAAGGACTAAATGCTTTTTATCAAAATACTGTTACAATTACATAATTATGAGTCCTGCTGAAGCTGGGAGAAAAGTTTATGAAGCATGTGCTATAAGTAGGTTACTCAATTAGTCATGTCAAAATGAAAAAAATCTGTTCATGTCTCTGAGACTATTTAAATGCTGGTGTTTGTTATAATTAGGTTGCATTTGTTCTGTAGGATAGCTTTGCTCTGAGAAAAGTCTAGGCCATGTCACTAAGCTGCTTTTAACTTTTTGGTTGAGCCACACTAAAAAATTACTTTAATCTGGGGTCTGCTACTCCCTATTTTTAATTCAGCAACAGGCAGAATGTAGAAGAAAGTGGCAATTTAAGAGACTAGCTGGTTCAGAGAGCCATGCGCTTTCATAGGTAGGTGGCAGATCTGATGAAGCAGATGCTGCCTGCAAAAGCACATATCTCTGTGAACCAGTTAGTCTCTAAGGTGCCATCCTGCTCTCGGTTTCTGCTTGACTTCAGATTAACAACTGCTAACCGTCTCTGTCACCAACAGTAAACCACAGTAACTTTTCTGGAAATAGCTAGAATAAGGTAGCTTTGTGCGTTTTTCCTGGACAATGAGTTAATTGAACATGAAACCCAAGCCACATGGCCTCTCTCTAAATATATTCTGATCTCCATTTATTTTTATTGGTACTACAGAATATATTAAATGTTTCCCAAAACTATATTCTGAACTTTTTACATTTTGAAGTGACTTGTGATGCAAAACAATTTACTGATACTCCATTAGGACACCAGAATCCTCTAGCTCACGGGTTGTCAACCAAGGGTACATGTACCCCTGGGGGTACTTGGAAAGGAACCAGGGGACACGGCAGCAATGCAGAGAAGCAGTTCTGCTGCTGATGCTTTACCTCCCCCTGCCCTCTTGTCAATCGGCAGGGGGACTCCCTGCTTCTCTACCGGCCGCTGAGGGTACGCCAACCAAAAAAGATTGAAAACCCCTGATCTAGCTGAAGCACAAAAATAAATTCAGAATAGAATTAAACTCAAGTCAGTAATGCAGATCACATTCATTAAACATACACGCCACAGATAGTGATCAAATAGACCATCACCAGATCATATACTGATGTGTAGGGACCTGACTAATTTACAACAGCTACCTCTGGATTTTGAAGTCCCAGAACAGCATCAGGCACCAGTTTTGCAGCAGAGCACAGGGGGGCCTCCCTCTGCCCCCCCGCCTCCCAGAAACTGACAGGACTGAGGAGGGGCAGGACTTCCAGGGCCCCTCAGTCAGAGATGCAGGGGGTCCTGCCATGCTCTCCTGTGAAAATCTCCATCCCCTCTGCCCTGTCCTGTGCTTCCAGATGCAGAGCTTCCTACCTCTGTTTGCAGCTCCCTTCCCCACAAACTTCCCAATTTTATTGCTTTTTCACAGGGACCAGGCTTTTTCAAGGAGGACCTACCAGATTTGCAGTTTTGGCAAAAATTGAGAAATCACAAATTTGGTAGGTTCCTACTCATGTGTCCTTGGCTCCCATATTTACCACTACTAGTACCTGGTAGGGTTACCAATTACAAATCAGGCTTTACTGAGCTATGGATTTTCACCACAACTACCAGCAGCCAAGGAGTTAATGATGTCACCACGGCTGCCAGGGCCACACTGCCAACAAATTTCGTGTTTTCGGTCACTGTTGGTGACCTGAATCTGCAGCATTCGTGCCCTGGCTGCTGTTTGTGCAGACACTGAAGCTCCAGCAGCAGCAGGGGTGTTGACTTCTTGGTTACCAGTGCTCACACAGTGGCAGAGAGCCACAGCTGTGGGTCATCCAGCCTGCACAAAGCCCCAGTCTGGATCCAGTGCACCAACTTATTACAGTTTGACACCCCTGTTGTAGAAATGTCAGATTCATTGTCTTAATCAGGGACCAAGGTTTTCTCCAATTTTAAAAAATCCCCACTTTGCAGAGTAAAAAAAGTAACCCAATGGTCCCAAAATCCACATTGTTCCGTGATCAAAATGAAATACCTCTCTCTCTCAAAACGTGGTTTTGGGGACCACTGGGTTACTTTTTTTAATCCGCAAAATTTGGGATATTTTTTAATCAGAGAAAATCAGGATCCCTGGATAATGGTCCAGTGAAATTGGCCTAGTTACATAGCAACAAAAATAACTGCAAAAGGCTATAAGTGGTCTTAAGGAATAAAGAAGCTATACTGCATCACATGAGAAACACCTACAATGCACAAGCACAAAGGGGTAGTTCAAGAATGATTTGACTGTAGTCTTATTGATCCTTTAATTTAGAGATTTCACACTGAATATTAGATTTTAAAATAACTCTGTGAAGACACTTTGCACTAACGATCCAAGTCATGTTTTTTTCAGTAAGTTCTATCTAAACTGCAAATCAACTCTCTTGTGTATTTTAAGTTAGAAGTAGAATAATGGCTACAGCTTTGCCACTGTATGACAAAGTATACATTTTCTCAAACAGGAGAAAATTTGAAACCATCCAAGGTGATGTACCTGGTCAATTTTCTGGCCCTCCCCTCTATTCAAAACAGCCTTCAGATAATACTTGTACCTAAA